CCGGAATCAAACCCGGGACCCTTCAGTCCGCAGGCCGACGCTCTATCCACTGAGCCAGACCGGCCAGGACTCGCCGATGCTTCTGGACCAGCTTGCTATCTTATAGACTAAACACGCTCTGTCATCTGGTGTCCCCTCTGGGGCTCCTTAAGCCCTTTTAGGGTGCAGAGAAATCAGCACAGCTCTCAGAGCAGTGGTTCTCAACCTTCCTAATGCCGCGGCCCTTTAATACAGTTCCTCATGTTGTGGTGGCCCCCAACCATAAAATTATTTTCGTTGCTACTTCCTAACTGTCATTTTGCTACTGTTATGAATCGTCATGTAAATATCTGATATGCAGGATGGTCTTAGGCGACCCCTGTGAAAGGGTCGTTCGACCCCCAAAGGGGTCTCGACCCACAGGTTGAGAACCGCTGTCTTAGAAGTTCGCATTAATCCTATGTCCTGAACTACAGTTTTCTGTTACAGGGGTTCAGAATCCCAAATAAAACCCCCCTTATTTGAAACGAAATGTGAGAGATGAAATTTGAACGTGGCCTGGGAGTTTACAATGGAACGGAATCTACTGACATTGCCTACTTTTCAGATGTGAGCCGTTTAACCAGAGGTGCCTCTAGTGTCACCTAGTCCTAGGGAGCTTTCTCAAAAGCAGCGTGGCCGGCCTAGATGGGCGCAGGCGGGGTACAGGAAGGCGTCTCCCGCGTTAAGGGTGTGTTTCACAGGGTGGCCTACGTTGGCGGCTGTTGGTAACCCACGGAGCATGCTGTGGTGTCTGCAGGCGGAGTCCCCGGAACGGGGAGGCTCTACCAATGGTTCATGTACGTTTTCGCAGATGCCGCCGCGCTGTTTTCTGACACACCTCTCCGCCAGCCAGGATTGCACAAAGGGCTTCTGCCCCGGGCCCTGCCCCTTGGGGAACCCTCAGATCACAAAACCACAAAGCAGTTGGTGTGTTACAGGTACCCGGGCGCCTGTCACTCAGCAGCGGCACCGCGTGACCCATAGCCCTCGTCATCCACGCTCGTGACTAACACCATTCAGCCCCCAGGGAGGCGCCTCTGTGCGCCCCTTGCTCTGTGTCCTGGAAGCAAAGGCCGCCTGAGTCTAAAGGTCGGTGGATGGCGCCTCTGCCGGCCTCATCGGGCCCCGCTCGGAGTGGGAGAGAGCGAACAGCAGCATCAGGTAAGAGAAAAAGGCAAGCGAATAGCTTGTCAAGTCAATTCTCGAATAACGGAGTGTGGCTTCTCGGGAGTCCACGTCTCCGTTCTCTTTGTTTAAATGTGTGGTTCTGGGGTGTTCATGAGTTGGTACAGCAACTGTCAGACTTGTACTCGAGGGCTGATGCCTGTCACTCTTAAGTTTGTATACACAGGTTGTCCCCCAAAAAATCGATACACACTTTAACAGCTGATACTTCAGTGTTGAAAATGAAGTGTATTTTAATAAACACTGCCTTTATAATTATTCAAAGTGTGTGTATACATTTTGGGGGGACACCCTGTATATGTAGGTCTAGATCAGCACTGTCCAATATGAGTGCCTTATTTTTAAAAAGTAAAAAGAAACAGGTGAAATTAATATTATATATATTGAACCCATTATGTCATCATCAGTATAAGAAATTATTTGAGCCCTGGCTGGTTTGGCTGAGCGGATAGAGCATCGGCCTGCGGACCGAAGGGTCCCAGGTTCGATTCCGGTCAAGGTCACATACCTGGGTTGCAGGCTCCTCCCCGGCCCAGGCCCTGGTCAGGGTGCGTGCAGGAGGCAACCAGTCGATGTGTTTCTCTCACGTTGATGTTTCTCTCTGTCTTTCCCTCTCCCACTCTCTCTAAAAATCAATGGAAAAATATCCTCTGGTGAGGATTAAAAAAAAAAGAAGAAAAGAAATTATTTGAGATGTTTTATATTCTTCTTTCATACGAAATCTTCAAAATCGACGTGTACTTGACATTTGCAGCCCATCTCCCTGCGGACTCCCCGTCTCCTGTGCTTGGTGCCCCGAGTGGCCAGTGCCCGCTGGACTGGGCAGCACAGTCCACACAGTGCCTGCAGGAAGACCCAGCGCTTTATGTTGGCAGCTAAATGCACACTGAATGTTAGAAGTAGGGATGTTTGTATTCTTATAAAAGGTTTAAACAATTTAGTTGAATTTTCAAAGGTATAAAGTTAAAATTTCCAGCTTTTAAGCAATTTTGGATTTAAGAGTCATTGTAATTCATGGTTTGACTGTAATATTAATAGACTAGAGGCCCAGGGCACAGAATTCATGCACGGGTAGGGTCCCTAGGCCTGGCCAGAGATCAGGGCTGGCCAAGGCCTCCCTTCCCCGGCTGCCAGCCCAGGGGTCTTCCTTTGTTCCGCGCCGCACCCTGGTGGTCAGCGCATGTCATAGCAAGCGATCACTCCCGATCTCCCGGTCGAACTCCTGAGGGGACAATTTGCATATTAGCCTTTTATATATATAGATAATTTTGCATCTTTTAGGAAAAAAGTAACTTTTTAAAACTGTACCTAAAATTTTTTCTACTGTTTTGCTCTTTAATTCTGATGAAACTATATTCTAATTTTGTGCATTCATATAATTACATTTCGCTTTTTCAACCCTAGATCATTGAAAATGGGTGCACATCTCACGCTCTTGATAGAAAAGACCAGAGGAGCTCCCAAAGGAAAAACTGAGAAGGAAGAAGAAAAAAAAACCTCCAAGAAGCCGTCTGCTTGCATTTTTAGAGGCAAAACAGTAAAAGGAGGCCACCTTCTTCCCAGCTGAGCCCACAAAAGCTATGCGCGGGTGCGACAGAGTCTGTCCAATGAAGAGCTCATGACTCGTCCAAACAATGAAAGTCACAACAACACTGTTCTCTCCAAATCCACAACCTGGCGGGTCCGGATGAAGTCCCTGCAACCTCGGCTTCTTCCCCAACGGACGCCTTAGCTGCTAATCCACAGCCTCCCGCACAGAACAGGACGAAGCAGGTGCCAGCAGTTGGGGGGACGCTGCCTCGACAGCAGACCACTGATAACACGAGAAAACACTGGCATGAAACATCAGTGTCGTGTTCTTCAAAGAATGAGACCAGGTGCCCGATATTAGCCAAGCCGAACGCTGCCTTCCAGGCGCGCAACACAGTGTTTACAAAAACAATGGAAACTTTCTAGGTTGAGTAACAGTTATTTCACAATCTGATAAAATGCCAAAGGTGTGATTAGGATAAATAATAAGGAAACTAATGATCACTATCTAGATTGATTGAATGGGTAATACGTGAGAGATAAAATCACATGTAAACTTTTTAAAGTACTCAGTTCAACTAGAATGTTTCCTGGTGAGAAGACATGTTGAACAGCTAACATTCTGTGCATCATTACACTCCCCTGTGAAGAAAAGCAAGCTTAAATCAATGAGCATTTCAGTGGCTTTACACCTGCTTTTTAAGGGATGCGTTTTGAATGAAGAGAAGAATTGGGGAATGCTTTTTAACTTACACTAAAATTAATGTTTAAAATGATCGCCTAGCGCTAGCTGGTTTGGCTCAGTGGATAGTGTCAGCCTGCAGATTGAAGGGTCCCAGGTTTGATTCCAGTCAAGGGCACATGCCCGGGTTGTGGGCTCGATACCCAGTAGGGGGTGTGCAGGAGGCAACCAATCAATGATTCTCTCTCATCATTGATATTTCTATCTCTCTCTTCCTCTCCCTTCCTCTCCCTTCCTCTCTGAAATAAAAAAATACATATTTAAAAAAATAAAATGATCACCTGGCCGCATGGCTCAGTGGTTGAACATCGACCTATGAACCAGGAGGTCATGGTTCGATTCTCTGTCAGGGCACTGGCGCCGGTTGCGGGCTCGATCCTCAGTAGGGGTCGTGCAGGAGGCAGCCGATCCATGATTCTCTCTCAGCATTGATGTTTATATATATCCCTCTCCCTTCCTTTCTGAAAACAATAAAAATATTTTTAAATAAATAAATTAAATTAAATGATGGAAGGCAAGCCTATGATAGGGAGCTAACGTGGTTGGTAAGCAAAAGGTATAGAAGCATGAAGTGTGGCCAAGAATCCAGCAGTACTCTGTGTGACACGCGTACAGAGCACGGTTTGAATTTTTCTAGGAGACACGCCCTCAGCTGGGCCAACAGTGAAGATGCTGTGGGACAGTCTGGGGTCTAGATCTGCCCCAAATGGAGCAGCTTGGTCAGACGCATAGCTGACTTCACAACGACTCTCAGACACGTGGTGGGAACACCAACTAAATGCTGTTGAAGTAATTAAATCCAATCTAAAAAAAATAAATAAATAAAGTAAAAAATAAATCCAATCTAGATAAGAAGAGTTGAGCAAAACCACAGAAGATTCTCAAAGAACAAATCATGGCCTTGAACAGAAAGTGAAATTAATTTTGAATGTATGCTATCTACAGTTACTTAGTTTGAACTGTCAATTTCTATTGCTAAGCTTAACAAAAGCTTTGAAAACATCCAAGTTTGGTTATTTGCTTTTTAATAGGATTAAAAGTATCCTTTTAAGTTTAGAGAAACAAAACCAAAAGTGCATGTGAACTATGCAAGAATAACAAGCCCATAAAATATAAGGAAATTGGATCAAGGAAACAAAGATATTGGTCTGACCTGGAGCAGACTCGCGTACAAAATCCTGAAACCAGTTTCTACTGAGGCTACTTTTCTGTTCACTCTCAGAGCGTAGCACCACTTGAAGAGAGGTTTGAACAGCGTACTGCTGTTTTCCGTTTTCTTTATAACTACCAGCACTTAAATTTGAAAGAACTTAAGATGTTCCGCATGGATCTAAATAAGAGATTGTGATGCATCTGATCATATGAAAGTGGTAATATCTTCTGTGAGGAGAGTTTATCATATGTAACCCCGTATTGCATTTGAGTGTGGTAACGTCAGAATCGGGATTCATTTCCAAATCTAGGTAATTCTGCTTCCAGAATTCTATTGGAAATTCCAGTTGCTGCTGCCTCAGCGGAGCGAAGTTTCTCCAACTGAAATGAGTTAAGAACTTGCTAAGAAGTCTATGGACTCAGGAAAGTCCGCCTCGTTCAGCGCTTCCCCCGTGGGGTGGGTGCTGTGTGGAAATGCTGATTATGAGAACGTCGTCAGTGCTCTCTGATACGAGGCGAGGAAAATTAACTTCACGGAGTCAATACACAATCGATGTATTTTGTGTGTGTGTCTTGTTTCACTCATCCCGGCGTCCCCAGCTGATGAGAGGATCCAGATGTGAACAATAACAGCTAAGTCCTCATTGGTGGTTTGTCAGCATTCAGTCATATGAATACCATAGCAGGACAGTATATTTTGAGACACATTTATCACATGTTTATAACTAAACTAGAGGCCCGGTGCATGAAATTTGT